TCGTTTCTTGGGCCTCTTATCGTTGGTGCAGGGAGACAGGGGATGGCGGGTTCACCCTACGCGGCTCGGTTGGGGTTGAACGCTGTTGCGGATGCTCGATGAGAGCGGGTGATGCGGAGGAGAGGATGGATGGGTTCGGTGGCAATGGTAATGGAGGGGGTGTTGGGTGTGTGGGTGGTGGTGGTGGTGGTGGTGGTGAGTTAGCGGCTTGTGCATCTTGGTTGCCGATAAGGACGCCTAGTCCGAATGCCAAGACCTCTTTGCTCTTCGATCGACCCCAGCTGCGTGCAGCCTCACGAAACAGACCGCTAGCTTTTTTCCGGACGAGCTTGCCGGAGACGGACCAGGTGCCTGGGGGCGTGTGAGATGAGGAGGATGGTAGGAATGGGTTGGATTGACTGGAAGAGTTTGATCGACGAGAGGTGGATTGATCGGCGAGAGGGGCCGATGCCGGGCTTAATGCGGGGGAGAGATGGGCAAGCGGAGAATCATAGGATGAATTGCCACTTCCGAAGAGGTTCTTGTGAGTAGCCGAAGAGTGTTTCTTGAGTGAATCGAGTGTCCGGCGAGCCGGCTGAGGGGAAGAGGGGGACTGATTCATGTTTTGAGTCTTGGCAAATTCCAAGCGGCAGTTTCGGATGCTTAGAGGGGGGGGGGGGAGACAGATTTTTTTTTGCACTTATATAAAACAAAAAAGGTGTAGTGTGTATTGAGATGCTGCTGGTTGAGAAGGAGAGAGAGAGAAAGAGAGGAAGGATGTGTGTAGTTGGATTGGTAAACCCAAAGAAACAGATTAATTATTAGTTTTGAAGGTGAAGAAGATATTAGTGTTGGAGAACGGCCGATCGACGGACGAGAGAGGGGTATAAGGGATGTGGAGGATGAAGGGGGGAAGAAAGGAGGCTGGAGGAGAGGAAGGTATTTATTATGGGTGTGTTGGGTGGGGCTGAGGATGGGTGGTAGAAAATGAGAGGAGAGAAGAAAGTTTGAAGGATGAACGTACCAGGAAAAGTGAGGAGTGGATTGGAAATAAGCTTAAAAGTGGTCGGCTGTATGTATTGAATCAGTCAACTACCAACTCGCCGCCACCCAGTAGGCTAGAACGTAGTGAGTACTGTAGAAACAACTGGAGTGATACTAAGAGGAGAGAGTGGGTGGTGTACAACTTTGAACGTGGAAGGTGTTGTACAAGTCTGATTGGTTTATTGATGAGAGAGGAAGGAGTCAAGTATACAGAGTATCTCCTGATTGAGATGAAGCTCTCAAGTTCTTCAGTTTTGACTTGAGCGATGTAGTTCTTCACCGGAGGGGGTGCCTTGCAGGGTTGAATGAATTCTTTTCGCTCGGGGGGGGCTTCGATTTGAGGCTGGGAATGGATATTGTGAGTATATGTATCTGTGGATGAGAGATTGGGAGATTCTGTTTTTAAAAGAGACGATCGAAGCGGAGGAAGGAGGGATGTCGGGAGTGTTCGTTGTTGGTTGGGGAATCAGCCGGTTGAAGAAGACAAGATTATAGGGACGAGGGGCACGACGCATATAATCTCAAGCCGGGGGTACCTATAATATAAGTATCCATCCCACGCTGATCGTCCTCACAAGCAAGTTTTTTAAAACTCTGAAAGCGT